AGCTATTCTGGACATAAACCTGATAACATTACTGAATGGCCTAAATGAATTATAGGCTTATATAGTCAGATGTGGTGATATTGCATCTTATATCTCAGATACATAGTTTTTCTACTAAAATCATTGTGTGTGTGTTTATGTACCTGTGTGTGTCTTACGTGGCTGGCATGCCTGAACACAGTTAAACTCAGGAGGAAACTGTAGATTATCAAATTCCTCATGTGTGGACCAGCTGTGCTTGCATGTTGTGTGTTCAGACAGAAGCTGTGGTTTGGCCCTCATTGAGGTCTCTGAGAAGTGCTTATGTGGCACCTCAACGCCCCTTTATTTTACAGCCCTGTGTCTTTCCTCTGCCTCCTCTGTGGTCTTTATTTTACTTTACATGAGTTATTGTTGCATCTCTGAAACAGATGTGATTTCTTACATTTAATATAATTAAATAGCTTAAATTAATAACTTGAGGTTTCTTCTTTTCACCCAATACTCCACGTCTTCATCTTTACTCCGAGCTCTCCCACCGTCTCTGCTTTTCTGTCTTTAATTACAGTGCCTCCAATTGGCTGAAAGTTCCAGCCAATCAGGCATGTTCTTGGGGTGGCCCTTGACCCCCCTCAGGTAATCATGCTGAGCCTTTTTTAGTGCGTGTCAGAGATGATGGGCTCACTTTAAAACGTTGCTGGATCCTTTTGTCAGATCAGTCTGTAAGAAGAGCTGCAGGGCAGGCAAGGAGTCCCTAACACACACACACAAACACCTCCCACGTACACACCTGTGGACTGAGCTTCATCCGAGTCCACTTTGGATCCTCTGGAAGGAAACTCTGAAGTCAAACAACCGCAGGTAAGAGACCAAACAGTGCAATCTGTGTTTAGCATCAGGTACTTTCTGAGGCTTAAAATTCTGCTGAAAAACACCTGGTTCTGTTTTACTATGATAAACCAGCAGATTGAACCCAGCCAGGAGCCGTTGTGGCAACATGTTTGTTTCAAGAGTTCAATTCCAAGCCACAGGCATAGGTCACTTCTCCAGCTGTTGAGACTTTTGATAGAGCTTTAAAGGTTTTGTAAAGTTATTTTTGAGCTTTAAAATGCATCTTTGTGGGAAAAATAGTGACTAGTGGCTAAAATATTACTACTATGGCTGGTTGGACCTTATTTTTGGAGCCAGTGATCAAAGTATATGTGAAAAAAAGGATTTTGCATCATGTGAAGTGTCAAACAGGTACAGGCACAGAAAGGATCAAAGTGACAGTGGTTTTCAAGATTGTGTTTTTGTTGAGGTCCAGTCATGGCTGAAAGAAGACGGACCAGTTTCTCCGGTGTGTTGATCACCATTGTGCTGGCTGTGATGCTGCTGCCTGGTGAGTACCCAGCAGACATGGGACATTACAGACGGCGTCAGATAACAAGGCCAGATTGTCAGCTATACATTATATTATAGCGAATTATGGAAATGATGACAGGTAGCTAAATTATAATGTTGATTAGTAATCTCACAGTGTAAATATATTACTGCAGATTGAAATCTCTATTGGAAGAAACAATCACAATAACACAATCAGAAGATGCACAATTAGGAGCCCAATAAATTAAAGAATTATTAAAAAATATTTGCAAGAAAGAGTTTGGAGGTTAGTCTGCTTTATGGGTGCATTCCAAGCTCGGTGACAGTGTTAGGATCTCAAATGAAAATGTGTTTTTGGTGAAAAGATGGAGCTTTTTCTTTTATTTTTATTATATACATTGCTTGGGTTTTTGGTAGGTCTGCAACAAATATTTTCTTAATCAAACTTGATGGTTTTGTTTCTAAGTGCCTCCAACAAAGTCTGAGATAATGTCATCAGATATCTTAGATGCAGCCCCAAACCTAAAGATAATCACTTTGAAATTGTATTAAAGGCACAAAAGCACTAACACCTCACATTCCAAAACCAGCAACCCATCGTATCTTTCATCAGAACAAAATTGATCAATATCTTAAACTCTTATCTAATACTTCAGTGTATACAAAGCTATAACTAATTAAAAATCTGTCTAAACTCATATTATTCAAACAGGCTTCAGCAACTTTCAACTACTTTTCCAGCTCCACTTTAAAGCAAAGGTACGTGTAAAACACGGTGCCTCTATGATGCGCGGATACTCTGAAAGATAAGCACACTCCCCAAAAGTCTTCAGTGCTGAGATGGTGCAATTTAAAGTGAAAAAACATCCCTGAAAGACTGCAGTTTCCGGTGAATGCTCACTTCTCGCACTGCAAATCTGTTCTTAAATACAGTCCTTGAGCAAATAAGAGTCCATTCATGTCCCAACTGATGGGTAGAACAAAAGAACAATGATGACATAAAAGCATGTTTCCAGTTTTACGAGTTGAAAAACTGAATGATTGAAGAGTAAATCGTAAGGTGAAGAGTAGACTTTACTGTGGGCAAGAATGAGTCATTCAAGTCCACATTGATGACGAATGTCAGCCATTATTTCTTAATGATAGCAGGGACACAGCAGTGATGAGTGACTTTCTTTCTTTGTCTGTTTTTAAAAAAAATAAAATATTCATAAATCAGAGCTTTTACCTTTTGCATTTAGGTTGACATGCAGTTATTTTAAACCATTAAAAACACACAGCTGGCTATAGATTAGTGTGATACTATTAAAGCTATTCAGAGCCAGAGGATCTAGCTTTTAGACTTACATTTTTGATTTTGTGAATCAGTTTAGCAGCTTATCTTTCCTTTGATTGTTTGAGCCTCCTTAAAATATATTTGCCTTGAGCTATTGCTTCATTTCAAGGTTCAGTTTGTTAAAGCTAAAGTTTAGTTGCAGTACGTCTGATGAGTTCACGAGAACTGGGTTTCACATATATCATCATGCGGCTCTATAACACATCTGTGATGCTCATATATCACCGGCGATGTTGCAACATGGAGACAGGTTGTTCCCCTACCACCTGTTTCCAGTTCTCTCTCTTCTTGATTGACATGCTTTCTTTTCAAATTGGTTTTCAAAGTTACGCTCCCTGATGGATAAAGGGGAAAAAATACAGTAACGAGGAAGAGGAGGAGTTACTTTGATCAGTAAAAAAAATTATTACCTGTCAGCATCACCTCCTCTATGCCCTCTTAAAGTGCTGCTGTTTCCAGATGTGCCTGCCATTTTTTACAGGCTTGTTAAAAGAAAGGAAGAGAGAAATAGAGCGGATATACTGAGGCAGCATCATTCAGCCCACCCTCCTCCTCCTCCTCCTCCTAAACATCACCATGGGTCACCTTCCCACCTTCTCCTTTAATTCTGTTGTGTACTTTAGGATCCATACCTTTAGTTTAACCTCACAGGCGACAGTGCATAGCCATTCTTCCAATCCAAACTTTAAAAAAGAAGAAAAGAAGAAGAAAAATCAAGAGATTAATGTTTTTTTCCACTTAAAACACTCGCCACGTAACCCTAATTTATCCCCTGTGGATCTTTTTAAGGCTGTCATCTGTTCCTCTCTTCTTTTTCCTCCTTCTCCTCTTCCACCCCTTCTGTGAGGGACTAACACCTTCTCCCTGCGGAGATGAAAGGAACCCGGAGCAGAGCCGAATCTGAATCTGCTGTTCCTTCGACTTCAAACTGTGCACACGTGTGCATGTATGTGCATACAGATACACACTGCCCTTTGAAAGCACAGCGTGGGGCTCCGTGTTACAAGCGCCCCTATAAAAATCTACAAAGAACTGCAGTAACCAGTGCTTCAGGCAGTGCCAATTACCCCAGCCCTATTTAATGAAAACTATCAGCCCGTAAGCATTTGAGGTTTAATGTCATGTTATCGCTTGGATATTACAGACAAATTAGATTAGAAAGAATCAGCAACTTTGACTTCAGCAACATCTGTTTTTACTTTTCTCTGTTTGCAGCATTCTTGTCTGCTGGACCAATTGTGCAAAAGCCCAGAGGAGATGGTAAGTATGTGGTTTTTACCTTTAAAGATACTTCAACGTGTGTGTTTGTTTCTAAAGAGTGCACGGTGACCGAGTTTTTGAAAAGTTTGTCCATGGAAGAGGTTTGTGATTGGAAAGTAAACACAGATTTATGACTTCCACCTCACCTGGCTTCTGTGTAGCTTCAATACTTGACCCTGTGATTGAGAGCTAATGTGAGATGGAAGCCGTTCTTTAGCGAATACAAAAAAAAAGGGGTTTGAGTCCTTGAATGTTTTGTTGGAAACTTTAAAAGTCACTAGAAAGTCCTTGAATATGATGTCAGCGTGGAAGCCTTTGGATCAGCCGTGTCTTCGTTTTTTCCCCTCATCTCCTGCCCTCAGCGGGGGAAAGCATCCAGGAGAAGGCGGCTGCTGCAGCAGCACACAGGAGGCTGATCCGCAACCGCAGGAACATCAGCTGGTACAAACAGCACTCTGACTTCTGGGCATGGTACAAGTACTTTACTGACAACGGCAACCAGGAGGCAGTGAGTGAACGCTTTGTTTTCGACATGAAATGAAAGTTTCCATGTAACACTTCAGCTGTTTAATATGAAACAAAACTCTTTAGTATTGACAAGTTGTTGATGAGATGATTGGTTCTCTTATATTTAAAGCTGCTCTAATTAATGTTTTTATATTAACCCTTTAAAGCCTGAACCATGAAATAATTCAGATGGATTTTTAATATATTAATGTACATGCCAGTTTATTTGTATTGTATTTGCCAAATCTGGCATTTGTTTTGCAATGTATTGCTTAAAAATGTGTTGTGCAGTTTATTTAGGTTTTTTGTGGGGGAAATAATCATGCTGATGATGTAGAAGTTGCCATAACTCACAAAAACTGTATGTATCAAATGTGAGGTATTACAGGTATTACAGGCTTGAGTCTTTTGCGGTGACCAAACCATAAATTATAATGTGACTGGATGTAATAAAAGCTGAAAGCACCTTTTAGCACCGTTTTTGGTTTCTTTCAGCTTCACTGCTTTGATTTATTGTTGCTGCCCTTGTTTTTTAGACATGACAAGGGGGCAAGGAAGGACTCGGAATTTGGATTCAGGAAAAAGGAGTGGAGTCAGAAGTTGCAAATATTATAATCATCCTAAACCTGAATATATCACTAACAACTCTCACATATAAAGTTAATGAGCCAGTAAAATCAGGAGTAGTTTGACAAGTTGCTGTTGCTATTCTGCTGGGAAAACTTGACAGAGTGAGTTTTATCAAACAGGAATTAAAGCACACACAATCAAATGTCCTTTCAAAGGACTCAGCAGCAGGCACCAGATCTACAGAGGCCTGTCCAGCTTCTTTCACCAGAAGGTTCAGTTCACCTAAACAGCTAAACTAAAGATTCACACCTGCTACAAAACACAATAAAACAAAAGAAACAAACAAAAATTACATTTTTCTTACATGTCAACATTATAATCGATAAAACAGGGTTACCAACAAAAACAAGACCAATCTGCTAATGTATGCTGATTGGTCAGTTACTTCCTTGATAGCACCAGTTTTCAAAAACACAGGCTAGGACGACAGTCGTGTTTATGAATAGGAAGAAGCTGGTTATTACTGCTGTTTTACAGTCTCATACTCTTATATTAAAAAAGCATAATTAAAATAGCCAGAGTACAAATGTTGACCACACAGAGTTTATAATTTTGGCCAGAGATAGTTTCTTTCTGAGCGCCTCCCTGTAAAACTGGATGTTCAGAGAGTGGTGGTTCTCTGAGAAGCCTTTTACTTTTATTGATGTTTATTGATGTCATCAGATCAGCGAAAAAACAATAAACCCTTACTCCCTTCAGATTCAGGAGATGGATCGCATCTTCCTTGCCTACCTCCAGAACAAGAACCGTGCTGAGGGACGTCGCTCCTACAAGGCCTACTTGAGACACCTGGGAGATGTTTACAAATCCTGCTCCGATACTGAAGACCCCAACTGCGTGGCTTCCTACACCAGCAGGGCCAGTCCTAAAGCGGAACCCCCCAAACCTGCCCCAGTAAAAACCTGTGACCCCACCAAGGACCCCTACTGCATGTACATGGCTTTAGTCCAGGGAAAGAGCCCTTACAAGCCATTGGTGCTCGCGGCTGCCAGCCCTGCTCCTCAGTACGTCCACTCTCCTGCTCCAGCCAAGGACCCTCAGTCAGGGTACTACTACTCTCCGTCCACAATGCCTTTCCTGACCATGGTATGCTATTTTTTGTGCATAGTATACATGTATATTTACTGTATTTTAATTAATTAATTATTCATTGCACGTTTTGTTTCATGCCATACAAAATATCACAATTTTTCAAACTGTTTACAACTGAAAAACTGATTATTGTTTAAATTGAAGGTAATTTAGAGTTTTTAGAGTTCTTTATTTAGAATTTAGAGTTGTTGTTAAAACTTATGTTATCATTAGATAATAGAACCTTAGACTGCTGGGCAGTGGTGCATCTGAAAGCTCCCATGGGTAAGATTTGCAAACCTATATCTATAATTTTTGCCCAAGATGGATGCATTCAGCAGGAGCAATAATTTAATTGCTTACAAATGTTTTCAATGAGAAAAAATTTGCACCCATCTCATAATATGGATCCTTGTTTCTCGTGCTTCAGGACCAGAAGGTAGAGTTGCTGCGGATCTGTGGCTCTGATGATGTGGAGTGTCTTCAGTACCATCTGAAAGCTGCTTATGGGTATTCTGGTGGGTCCCGTCCATCATATGCCCACCTTGGCTGTGACCCCAAGAAAGATCCTGCCTGCAAAATGGTACAGAAAGCTCCTGCTGGTCTCTACATGAATGCCTATTCTGCCTCCAGTACGGTACGTCTTATTCGTCATACTAATTTCCTTCAACAGCTTTCTGCATTACTATATTTTAATTTTACTCTATCCCTCCAGGCTCCCCAAGCTGCACCAGGATCCTGCAATCCTCTTTTTGAAGACGGTTGCAACCCTCTTACCGCCACCAGATTTTCCACTCCTCCAGAGTCATACAAAAGTAACGAGAGAGATCAGGCCGCGTCCATCCGTGCTGCCCCTCCTGCTGAGCAGTATGACCCCTATTCCATGTATAGGGATTCTTATTCTAATGTTAACAGAGTCACTGATCCTTATGCTATGTATCGCCAGGCCAGTGCCCCAACTTCTCCTCCAGCTACTGATCTCTTTGCTGTACTGCGCCAATACATGGCCCAAGCTCACGCTAATGACCCATATGCTCCACGTATGGGGGCTGCTTCTGAGTCAAACTCCAACGATCCTTACTCTACTATGCGTGATGCAGCAGGCGCTATGCACCTGCACACCCCTCCCTCCCCCAGGCAGCAGCACCCTTATTCCTATCCCAGTTATGAGGAACCTGCCCAGGAGGAACGCCACCCTCTGGGTCCCCCAGGCAAAACCAAGGAGGGCTACGACTGTTTCATTGGCTATGACCGTGAATGCTATCCCGTGAAGCCCAGCGCACCTCGCTCTGGAGTTCAACGTCGCATCCCTTACTCTGCTGAGGCCTATGAGCCCCACCTGAATTCTGACGGCACCCGCAATGGCGTCCTGGAGCCTGAAAACCCACACTGTGACCCCGAGTATGACCGTGACTGCCGCCTGCGTCGCTATGAGACCGAGCAGCCTCAAAGCCAGCCTGAACGTCATGCAGCAGAGGACCACAGCCAGACGGCAGCCGAGAGAGAGCAGGTTAATCAGGACCAGTATGAAGCAGAGCCCTACCAGAGCGGCCAGGAGGAATCTCACACACCCTACACGCCTCTCACACAAGGCATGCCCAGCCTCCAGGACATACTGAGGCGCTATGGAGACCAGTATCCCGGGCAGGAGGATCACAGAGCTTATGCAGACAACTACCGCAAGAAGTAAACAGGCTAACACGCACAAAAGCATGCAGATGGACATGAATGCACAGTCCAATGCGTTCCTGTAGTTCAGCCCTTGAACGCCTCATGCCCCGAGAAACCAGTTCTATCTGGACCAGAGGTGGGACACAGGTGAATTTGATGGACCCAGAGAGCAAGTACATGCATGTACATCCCAAACACAGCTTCTTGCTTTGGGAGCCTGCTAAAAACTTTCCTGGAACGCCTTCCTATAACTTTAGTTGCTTTGGGCCTGATGCTTTGATTTATTGCTTTTTACTTTCTACCTTAAACTCTCCTCTGTGCTTTCAAGTGTGTAATGACCTCACAGCTCTCAGCTTTGCTTCTGTATCTGTGCATTATTTTTAAAATGAAATATTGTTTATTGCTTTTTGACACAGATGGATTGTCATTTTTTTCATTTTAATTGTTCTAATAAAAAATACAGAAATATGTTTGTTGGCTTTGATTAGTTTTTTTTTTGCATTTTACTGCACCATGACATACTGACTAGCTACTATAATCTGGAACAAACGGATCCACTCAGAAAGAAAAAAACATAATATGGGTATTTGGGGGTTACATCTATGATATAAAAGCTGAAGTAGAGTTTTAAGAAATATAAGCATCCACTGACTTTTGGTTTTTCATTTCTTTTGAATGAATGCGAAGGGGGAAAAGAAATCCTGACTTGTATTATATGTCCAAAATCTCCAGATTCTTTGGCAAATAAAAGCAAACTTTAATTAGAATCAAGCATTTCTTAGGTATTGCACGCTACTCTTTCAAGGATATCAAAAATCCTTGAAAGAGTAGTTGTCAAACAGCTAACAGATCATCTGCAGAGGAATGGTTTATTTGAAGAGTTTCAGTCAGGTTTCAGAGTTCA